TCCGGGACCCAGACCGGTGGTAAGTAGATGGAATCAGACTCCAAAAAAGCAAGGAGGGGACCACCAAAATAGTTAAGGTCGTGCAGCTCCACATCAAGGCTGGGGAAGCCCAACAGAACTGTGAGGAAGAACAAAAAAGAAAAAAGAAAAAAAGAAGCGCACCAACCTTGCGCATTACCTCAGTAACCAAAATTTATTAAATAAAAGAATGGTACTCACAAACAGCGAATAAAAACAGGCATGTCAGTCCTCAAAGGGACTTTAAAGGCAAGATGCAAATGCGAATCCCATCATGGAGGAAGCCACTCAGTACAGCTGACGCGTTTTCGAAGGACAAGCCTTCTTCCTCAGAGCTCTGAGGACTGACATGCCTGTTTTTTATTCGCTGTTTGTGAGTACCATTCTTTTATTTAATAAATTTTGGTTACTGAGGTAATGCGCAAGGTTGGTGCGCTTCTTTTTTCTTTCTTGTTCTTCCTTGAAGTAGGGCATTTCCAGGTGGCAGGCCAAGTGGCAGTACTGAATCTCACAGAGGAAAGCAAGTTTCTGGCTAGGTGTCAAGGCCTATGTAAAACTGTGGCTAAAGTGGGGGATTTGAATTTTAAAGTTCACCGACCAGGCCAAAGGAACCCATATCATCTCTATCACATAAAAGTGTTGAAGCCCTGGAAAGACAGGAAACTGATGACTTTCCTGGTGGATGCAAGGCTGGAGCCTCAAGTCATCGTGGACAGCATTTAGGTGGCAAGTACACTTTCAAAAGCCCAAACCCAGGACGCAAAATAATTTCTTCAAAGTAACAAAGTTAACTTTTTCAGGCACACATGGGCTTGGTGATGTTGTTGAGCATGATATCATTACTGAGCCTGGTGTCAAGGTTTGTGTCCGACCTTACTGCATCCCAGATGCTCAGAAGAAGGCTGTCTTGGATGAGGTGAAGAAGATGTTTGTGCTGAGAATAACTGAGAAATCACAGAGTGAATGGTCAAGGCCAGCCATGTTGGTTCAGGTTCAATGGCACTCTGCAGTTCTGCATTAATTTCTTGAAGCTTGATGTAGTTTCAAAATGTGATGCCTATCCCATACCCTATGTGGTTGAGCTCATTGAAAAACTAGGCCATGCTTATGTTAGGATTTCAAGTCCTGAGCTACTAGCCAGGCCTTAGAGTTACTCGCCACCAACAAACACACACAAACAGAGACACCTGTACACACACACACAGACATGTATATACACATACACAGAAACATGTACACACACACATACAGACAGACACATGTATACACACACAGGCACGTACAGACATGCATACACACAGATACATGTACATACACAGAAATACACACACACACAGACACATGTACATACACACAGACACATGTACATTCACACAGACACATGCGCACACACACACATGTACATGCACGCTGACACATGTACAGATACGCACAGACACATGTACAATTGTACACCCCCCCCCCCCCCCGAAAAAAAAGTTGCAGTACTTCGTTGTTCACTCACAGATCCAGGTACTGCACTCTAGGGGGAGGAAGAGAGCACAGCACACACTCCTTGCTTTGCTTTCACTGCGCTCAGCTATTGAGCACTCTCACGGCTCCCAGTGCCAATGACAGATCCGGCCTGAGCTCCGAGCCTGCTCAGCAAGACGGCCCTGGGGGACACACTCGCCCCCACCATAATTTCCACTCGCCATTGGCGAGCAGGCGAGTGGAAATTTCAAGCCCTCTGTTAGGTCATGTCCCAACAGATGATGGATAGACCGTTACAACTTCATCAGAAATATACCTGAGTGTATCTAGATAACATTTTCATTTTCAGAAGAGACTGGAAATCCTATTTGCCCAAAGTCAAGGTAAGCCATAGATGGGTCGAAATTTGATGTACCTATGGACAGGCTGGTTGTACAGAAGTCAATCTTTCAGTCGACTTCTGTAAAGCCAGTCTGTAGAAAATATTTTCTCGATCAGTGCCGCTGCCTATAGCCAGCGGTGCTGTTGAGTATATTCTGACAGCGGGGCAGCTTCCCCTCTGTTAGAATACAATAGCTCAGTGGGACAGATTCCCTCTTCCACTTCGAATGTGTGCATGCGGGAAATGATTCATTTTCTTTCATTCAACCTGCTGAATGAAAACAATCATGTATGGCCAGCCTTAGATTGCTTGAGTAAAGAACGATTTACCATGAACCCTGAAAAATGTGCCTTTGAAATGGAGGAAGTACCTTGAAGTATGTTAAAGCCACAAATCAGCAAGGTAGAGGTTATACATTCCTGGCCCTATCCCCTCACCAAAAGCAGGTGGGTGCGTTTCTAGGCATAGTGGGGTACCACAGATGGTTTGTGCCCAATTTTGCTAACCTGCTGGCTCCAGTGACCAATGTAAGTGTTGGAAGTCATTCATGGTGGAGTGAAATGTGGATGCTGAAAAGGCCATCCTGGCGCTCAAGTCTGCACTGTGCTAACAACCCATCCTGATAGCTCCTGATTTCCCCAAAAATTTGTTGTTCAGATGAGTGTGTCTAATATAGGACTCAAAAGTCATCCATGAATAGAAGCATCCTGTGGTCTATTTCATCCAGAAATGAACTACTGCTGAGAAAAACTATGCTATGGCAGAATAAGAAGGTTTAGTGGGTCTTTGAATTGTTTCAGTGTTACCTCTTAGGAAGTTCAGGCGTACCCTTGACCATGCTCCTTTGATGTAGATGCAACAAGGTAAGGGGGGCAAACAGCAGGATAACCCCAATGTTTCCCGGAGCTCCAGGAATTCAGGCTTGTGGTGGAGCATAATATCATTAAACTTTATCTTTCCCGAGTCCATTGTCTTGGCTCTACTGCTGCCTCCACCTCCTATCCAGTCAAAAGGCACGTGTCCTGGATGGAAGGTATATATCTCCTTACATTGTACATGGTGCTGTGATGGGCTCATTAAGAGAAACAGCAGGGGTTAATGAAAGAGAGGGCTGATAAGGAGTTAGAGCTGTGACAGTGAGTGATGGGGGGACTACTGATTTCTCCCCAGAGTGCAGTCTGGTAGTGAAAGGCCCTCCAAAATGGAACCTAGCAGTGAAGAGGTTACCAGAATGAAGTGTGGCAGTGAAGGGGACCCTAGAATGAAGTGTGGCAGTGAAGGGGACCTTAGAATGAAGGGTGGCAGTGAAGGGGTCCCTGGAATGAAGTGTGGCAGTGAAGGGGTCCCTGGAATGCAGTCTGGCAGTGAAGAGGTCACTGGAATGGAGTCTGGCAGTGAAGGGCTACTAGAATGGAGTTTGGCAGTGAAGGGGTACTGGAATGGAATCTGGCAGTGAAGGGGTACTAGAATGGAGTTTGGCAGTGAAGGGGTACTGGAATGGAATCTGGCAGTGAAGGGGTACTGGAATGGAATCTGGCAGTGAAGGAGTACTGGAATGGATTCTGGCAGTGAAGGGGTACTGGAATGGAGTCTGGCAGTGAAGGGGTACTGGAATGGAGTCTGGCAGTGAAGCGGTACTGGAATGGAGTCTGGCAGTGAGGGGTACTGGAATGGAGTCTGGCAGTGAAGCGGTACTGGAATGGAGTCTGGCAGTGAGGGGTACTGGAATGGAGTCTGGCAGTGAGGAGTACTGAAATTGAATCTGGCAGTGAAGGGTACTGGAATGGAATCTGGCAGTGAAGGGGTACTGGAGTGGAGTCTGGCAGTGAGGGGTACTGGAATGGAGTCTGGCAGTGAAGGGGTGCTAGAATGGAGTCTGGCAGTGAATGGGTACTGGAGTGGAGTCTGGCAGTGAGCGGTACTGGAATGGAGTCTGGCAGTGAAGGGGTGATAAAATGGAGTCTGGCATTGAAGGGGTAATAGAATGGAGTCTGGCAGTGAAAGGGTACTGGAGTGGAGTCTGTCAGTGAGGGGTACTGAAATGGAGTCTGGCAGTGAGGGGTACAGGAATGGAGTCTGGCAGTGAGGGGTACTGGAGTGGAGTCTGGCAGTGAAGGGGTACTAGAATGGAGTCTGGCAGTGAAGGGGTACTGGAGTGGAGTCTGGCAGTGAAGGGGTACTGGAATGGAGTCTGGCAGTGAGGGGTACTAGAGTGGAGTCTGGCAGTGAAGGGGTACTAGAATGGAGTCTGGCAGTGAGGGGTACTGGAGTGGAGTCTGGCAGTGAAGGGGTACTAGAATGGAGTCTGGCAGTGAAGGGGTACTAGAATGGAGTCTGGCAGTGAAGGGGTACTAGAATGGAGTCTGGCAGTGAAGGGGTACTGGAGTGGAGTCTGGCAGTGAAGGGGTACTAGAATGGAGTCTGGCAGTGAAGGGGTACTAAAATGAAGTCTGGCAGTGAAGGGGTACTAGAATGGAGTCTGGCAGTGAAGGGGTACTGAAATGAAGTCTGGCAGTGAAGGGGTAATAGAATGGAGTCTGGCAGTGAAGGGGTACTGGAGTGGAGTCTGGCAGTGAAGGGGTACTAGAATGGAGTCTGGCAGTGAAGGGGTACTAGAATGGAGTCTGGCAGTGAAGGGATACTGGAGTGGAGTCTGGGAGTAAAGGGGTAATAGAATGGAGTCTGGCAGTGAAGGGGTACTGGAGTGGAGTCTGGCAGTGAAGGGGTACTAGAATGGAGTCTGGCAGTGAAGGGGTACTAGAATGGAGTCTGGCAGTGAAGGGGTAATAGAATGGAGTCTGGCAGTGAAGGGGTACTAGAATGGAGTCTGGCAGTGAAGGGGTACTGGAGTGGAGTCTGGCAGTGAAGGGGTACTAGAATGGAGTCTGGCAGTGAAGGGGTACTAGAATGGAGTCTGGCAGTGAAGGGGTAATAGAATGGAGTCTGGCAGTGAAGGGGTACTAGAATGGAGTCTGGCAGTGAAGGGGTACTAGAATGGAGTCTGGCAGTGAAGGGATGAGCATTCCTCCAGGGATGGAGATTGGCTCAGTGCTGCCCTCCTGGGGTGTAGTTGGGAATGACTCTGTATATAAGGACAGTGCGGAGCCCCAGCTGGCACTCGCAGATGATGATGGCACACAAGCAGCAGCCTCTCTACCTGCACCTGGCTGAGCTCACCGCATCCCAATTCCTGGACATCTGGAAGCACTATGACTCTGACGGTGAGTGCTGCTCCACCCTAAACTCTGAGATCCATACTGATCAGCTATCCAAGTCGACACTGAGCCTCTGCTCCACCTTAAACACTAAGATCCATACTTTCCTATACTGATCACCCGTTCCAGTGGACAATGAACTTCTGCTCCACCTCAATCTGAAATCCATGCTAACCCATTCCGATCACTTGTTCCAGCTGACACCAAGCCTCTGCTCCACTCTAATCTGAGATCCATACTATCCTATACTGACCACCTGTTCCAGCTGACACTGAGCATCTGTTCCACCCTTATCTGAGATCCATGCTGTATCATACTAACCCCCTGTTCCCGCTGACTCAACCTCTGTTCCACCCTAATCTGAGATCCATAGCATTTCCTACTGATTCCAGCCATCACTGAGCCTCTGCTCCACCCTAATCTAAGAAATACATACAATACCTCTCAACTTACTAAGATGGAGAAGAGGGACCCCTTTTAGGTCATATGGACTGAAGCATAAAACAACTTGCCCCTCCCCCCACACAATCCTTTATTACAAGTCTCATACTGCAACAATGCAACGGATGAAATATGAGCATACACAGCCCCACACATCCCGTCCTCTGTAGGGGAAGGATGGATGGAGATTTGGATGAGGGACAATCAAAGTTCTGCCATAATCCAGGAACATCAATTCCACCAAAACAAATTCTCCACCTAGAACGGAACTTACCATTAGAACCATCTAAACATGAAAAGGATAGACATAACTCCAACTAATATACAGGTAACCCCCCCCCCCCACCCCCACTATATACTATGCAGGTCATCTAACCTCTCTGTGTATAACACACTCTAATTTTCCTGTATATATCAAGCATGCTATCCCTGCATAAAACAATTCCCTATATATAACACTCACAGCTGTCCCTGTATACAAGACACTCTGCCGTCCCTGTATATAACACTCTGCCGTCCCTGTATATAACACTCTGCCGTCCCTGTATATAACACTCTGCTGTCACTGTATATAACACTCACTGCCGTCCCTGTATATAACACTCACTGCTGTCCCTATATTTAACACTCTGCTGTCACTGTATATAACACTCACTGCCGTCCCTGTATATAACACTCACTGCTGTCCCTGTATATAACACTCACTGCCGTCCCTGTATATAACACTCACTGCCGTCCCTGTATATAACACTCACTGCTGTATCACTCACTGCTGTCCCTATATTTAACACTCTGCCGTCACTGTATATAACACTCACTGCCGTCCCTGTATATAACACTCACTGCCGTCCCTGTATATAACACTCACTGCCGTCCCTGTATATAACACTCACTGCCATCCCTGTATATAACACTCACTGCCGTCCCTGTATATAACACTCACTGCCGTCCCTGTATATAACACTCACTGCCGTCCCTGTATAGAACACTCACTGCCATCCCTGTATATAACACTCTGCTGTCACTGTATATAACACTCACTGCCGTCCCTGTATATAACACTCTGCTGTCACTGTATATAACACTCACTGCCGTCCCTGTATATAACACTCACTGCCATCCCTGTATATAACACTCACTGCCGTCCCTGTATATAACACTCACTGCCGTCCCTGTATATAACACTCACTGCCGTCCCTGTATATAACACTCACTGCCATCCCTGTATATAACACTCACTGCCATCCCTGTATATAACACTCTGCCGTCCCTGTATATAACACTCACTGCCGTCCCTGTATATAACACTCACTGCCGTCCCTGTATATAACACTCACTGCCATCCCTGTATATAACACTCACTGCCATCCCTGTATAGAACACACTGCTCTCCCTGTATATGTTTAATGTTAAATAGTAACTCTGTGCATTACCTAATCCAGACGTCTGCATTCCATATGTTACTCCTGACCCCTGCATTCTGTGTCACTTACTCCTGACCCTTACGCGTTGTATATTGCTTACTCTTGACCCTTGCACTTTTTTTCATTACTTGCTCCTCACACCTGCACTCTCTGTACTCCTGCAGTCTGTGTTATTTACTCTTGACCCATGCACCTTCGGTGGTACTTACTCCTGATTCCTTTACTCTGTGTGTTACTTATTCCTGACCCCTTGTTACTGTGTGTGTTACCTATTCCTAACCCCGGCACTCTGTGTACTTCTGACCCCCTGAACTCTGAGCTTTACTTACTCCTGACCCCTGCACCTTGTATATTTCTTACTTCTGACCCCTGCACTATGTGTGTTACTCCTGACCCCTGTACTCTGTGTACTCCTGACTCCTGCACTCTGAGATTTACACACTCCTGACCCCTGAACTCTGTCATTTACTCCTCACCTCTGCACACTGTTACTTGTAACCCCTGCAGTCTGTGCATTTCTTACTTCGGATTCTTATGCTTTGTGAGTTACTCCTGACTACTGCATTCTGTGCATAATTACTCCTGACCCCTTCAAGCTGTGCACTCCTTACCCTGACCCCGACCCTCTGAGTACTCATCACTTCTGCACGGTGTGCTTTCCTACTCCTGACACCTGCACTCTGCACTCATTGAGGACTACAAGCTGACCAATTCTGCATCAGCCTGGGAGGGTTGGGGGTCTCTGCATACAGTCAGGGCACAGCAACAGAATACACTTGTTACCAGAACACAGAGCCAGAGAACAGTCAGAGCACATAGAGCACACAGTCAGAATACACAGTTAAAGCACGTAGAGTACACAGACTGCACAGAGAACACGGAACACACAACCGGAGTACACAGTTGGGGTAGACTAAGAACACAGAGCATATAGTCAGAGCACACAGAGAACATATAGCACACAGTCAGAGTCAGGGGCGGACTGACCATATGGAAACTCTGGCACTGCCCGGGGTCAGTAGGGGGCCCCATGAGATGCCCCTGGTACCTTTTTCATAGGCTTTTTTAGTTTGGGCAAGGATACAGGGGCCCCATGATCCCCTATTGCCCAGGGGCCCCATGAGTTGTCAGTCCGCCCCTGGTCAGAGTACACAATCCGAGCACACAGTCAAAGCGTGCATAGTACACCAAAGCACAGAGCCGCGACCCAGTCCGAGCACAGAGCCGCGACCCAGTCTGAGCACACAGTCAAAGCGTGCATAGTACACCAAAACGCACAGCCACGACCCAGTCCGAGCGCACAGCCACGACCCAGTCCGAGCGCACAGCCACGACCCAGTCCGAGCACACAGCCATGACCCAGTCCGAGCACAGAGCCGTGACCCAGTCCGAGCGCAGAGCCGCGACCCAGTCCGAGCACACAGTCAAAGCGTGCATAGTACACCAAAACGCACAGCCACGACCCAGTCCGAGCGCACAGCCACGACCCAGTCCGAGCGCACAGCCACGACCCAGTCCGAGCGCACAGCCACGACCCAGTCCGAGCGCACAGCCACGACCCAGTCCGAGCGCACAGCCACGACCCAGCCCGAGCACACAGCCACGACCCAGTCCGAGCGCACAGCCAAAGCGTGCATAGTACACCAAAACGCACAGCCACGACCCAGCCCGAGCGCACAGCCACGACCCAGCCCGAGCACACAGCCACGACCCAGCCCGAGCGCACAGCCACGACCCAGCCCGAGCCCGAGCGCACAGCCACGACCCAGCCCGAGCGCACAGCCACGACCCAGCCCGAGCCCACAGCCACGACCCAGCCCGAGCCCACAGCCACGACCCAGCCCGAGCCCACAGCCACGACCCAGCCCGAGCACACAGCCACGACCCAATCTGAGCACACAGTCAAAGCGTGCATAGTACAGCCAAAACACACAGCATGACCCAGTCCGAGCACACAGTCAAAGCGTGCATAGTACACCAAAACACACAGCCACGACGCGGTCCAAGCACAGAGCCACGACCCGGTCCGGGCGCACAGAGCCACGACCCAGTCCAGGCACACAGAGAACACACAAATACTATATATCACATATTTATGTTGTAGTAAGGAGGAGGGTGGTGGCCACACTGTGGAATTTTCATTTCTGCTCCTAACATTGCGCTGACATTTTTCTTACATGTAATGTTGTGATGTCCACATTTGGAGATTCACGTGTTTTATGCCAGCAAGGTGGCCACTAATTTTTGATGATCCAAGTTCTAACATGGCCATATCGCTGAGAATTCATTGTATTGCCATCTCTACAGCAAACACCCTCCATGTGTGGTCTTATAGCATAGAGCTGTGTGACTTTTTTTTTAGCAGCCACAATAATATAGTGGTTGATTTACTAAAACTGGAGAGGGAAAAGTTTAGCACTCTCTTGTTTTAGTAAATCAAGCCCATAGTGTCAGCCCCCCCCCCCCCCCCCATTTTCTGAAGATAAGAGCATTACACTAAAGTATTATATGGGGGTCCCATTGGTAATAGGGATGGGCTCAGGGCTACCATGGGTTTTGCAAATCCTTTGGGTTTGACATTTGTGGTCCTGGTGGATTTATGTGCAGATTTGCCTGGAAGAATGTTTTTTTTTTTTTTTTTTTTTTTTTTTAACCATAACGTTCTGCACGGCCCGTGAACCATGACCAGCAGACCTGGAGGGGCCAACGAGCAGCCATTGTGTCATTGAATTAGAAGCTGTTGCAAGAAAACCATAGGGAGAGTTGGTTAGGAAGCTGTACTTTAAAACGTATATAAACCCAACATTTCAGATTCCTTTGTGCCTGCTGTACCATGTATTTGTATGAAAAAGTCTCCTGTTCTCTTTATATTGCTTCATTTGTGTTAAATCCCTGGTATTCCTGCCACTCCCTCTGCTTTCCTATTAAAAACTGACCATACTAGGCAGGAGAGCACACCATAGTCTGTTTTCTAGTTGTGCAGGGAACTCAGCCTACTCCCCTCCAATGATCAGACTTCCACAGCCTTTCACCGGGAAGTTCAGTGTACTGCTGTCTCTCCTCCCCCAGCTCTCTGTTCTCACTTATAAAATAGGGAATAAAGGTATTTATAATGAGTGGCTTTTTTTTTTAATATCTGTA